GTTGCGATGGGCAGACACTGCTCCCTCACAAACTGAGGTCTCCAGCATCCCAGCAGCCACAGCTCCATCTCTCAGGGGTCGTGCCCCGTGCAGACTGGGTGAGGTCCTTGGGGAGTGATGGGACAGAACTCCTTTAGGCTAGGTGGTCTGAGCTGGTTCATCAGAATCAAGACCAGAATGCTGAGGAGGTGTTTTTGCAAAGACCTGGGAGCAGCGCACTCCAGTGGTGTCAGTGGGGTGTAAAAGCTTGGGGTAGGGACTCAATGTGTCTGAGCAACCAAGCAAGGTTGGAGGTGATTTGAAACAGGTGACATGGAATGGATGGACAGAAGCCAAGGAGAAGGGTTTTGAGGGCCGTAGGGGACGAAATTGGGGTATCACTCTTGAGAACAAGTGAAGCATTTGTTGGTGGAGGGTGCGTGTGTGTATGTGGGTGTGGCTGACTGGACTCAGGGAGAGCTGAGGTGGCTTGGAGGAGGGTGGTGGAGATGTCATAACAGGCTGAAGCTGGGAAATGCTGCATGGATGGAGCTGATGGTACCTGCTGGAGTCAGTGTGGGGTGAGGGAAATAGGGACCACTCAACAATGTCCCATCTCAGTTTCATCAGTTGGGTGCCTTTTAGAGCCAGCACCTAAGGTCTGACTCCAGCATATTGTTCCTCTTGGACCTGTGTCAACAGCCCACAGCCGCCATGTAGCCTTCTCCCTCGGTGAGTTTTCCTGCGTGCATCTCAGTTGCTTCTCTAGGCCCTTCCTCCCTTCTCTGTTCTCAGCATCATGGCGGAACAGGATGTGGAAAATGAGCTGCTGGATTACGAGGAAGATGAAGAGCCCCAGGCTCCCGCAGAGAGCACCCCAGCACCCCCCAAGAAAGATGTCAAGGGGTCCTACGTTTCCATCCACAGCTCTGGCTTCCGGGACTTTCTGCTGAAGCCCGAGCTCCTGAGGGCCATAGTGGACTGTGGCTTTGAGCATCCATCTGAGGGTACGCCTTTCTGGACCTCCTCACCATGGCCCTCTGAACACTCTCACTGTGGTCCCCTCAGTCACCTGGTGAGGGGCCCGCATAAAGGAAGCGTCTGGTTTCCAATCGTTCATGTTTACTCTCTCCTTCAGTCCAGCATGAGTGTATTCCCCAAGCCATCCTGGGCATGGATGTCCTGTGCCAAGCCAAGTCTGGGATGGGCAAGACGGCGGTCTTCGTGCTGGCCACCCTGCAGCAGATTGAGCCCGTCAACGGACAGGTGGGCAGGCGCTCTCCCTCCCAGTCCCGAGCTACCTAAGGTAGCAGGTACCACGGCTCCTTTTGTTAAAAATTCCTGTTCCTATATTCTTTAGTGGGCTTTTAAAATGAAATATAGTACTTAGTTGTAACAAAATCTCCCCGAAATGATAAACCAAGAGAAAAAACTAGAAAGTGCCCACAATTTTACCATTCAGAGACATGGCTGTTATATCACCATGTACTTTCTAAATTGTTCATTTCTGACGGAGGATTATACTGTACGTGGCTTTGTTACTGCTGTCGTTGCTGACAGGCCATAGCTGTCTTCTCATGTGAACAATGTGTTCCACTGTCTTGGGGAACAATTGAGTTGAATATCAGTGTCTGCTCTTGTCATGCTGGGGCAGCATCCTTGGGCTGCATGTGAGTGCATGAGTCCTTGATTCCTTAAGGTAGACGGTGAAGGAGGGCGGTGTAGTGGGAGGTTGTGGTGTGGTCGCAGTGCTAAGTGGTGTGGGCTGGAAGGCCAGGACAGCTGGAGAACAGAGATTCAACTCGGGGCCTGTCCAGGTCTCACTGTAGGTCCTGGTGTTGGGAGACAGGCAGGCGTCTATAGCTGTGAGAGGATGTATGGAGCAAGGGGTGGGTGAAGGGTTGTGAGAAAGTGGAGGCGTTTGGACCAGGCCTTCTAGTCGCCCCAGGTATGGGGGTGAGGGTGGGCTGGGAGGATTTAGGACACTGCCTTCCTATCCACTCCACAGGTAACGGTCCTGGTCATGTGCCACACCCGGGAACTGGCCTTTCAGATCAGCAAGGAGTATGAGCGCTTCTCCAAGTACATGCCTAGTGTCAAGGTGAGGCACCTTTGGGCCAGGCCTGGTGCCCTGTCCTCTGTAGCCTGGCTGGCCTCAGCTCTGGCCCAGCCAGCATTTACCAAGCTTGGCTGCAGTGGCTGCCTTTGAGGTTTGTGGTGGTTTATGCTTCTTAAAAGCCTGATGAATTATGCATGGCCTCCAGAGGCCTGTGCTGGTCCCAGCCCTGGGCTGCTTTTCAATGGAGCTATGCCCAGGCTCTCAGGCCTCTAGAGGCCTGGGGCATTGGGGGCTGCTGGTGCCTGAGCTGGCAGGGTTACGGGTCGGATAGCCAGCAGCATCGGGTGGGATACGAGCTTTCAGCCCTTAGATGGGCAAAAGTGACTTCTTTTCCACCTGCATAGGTGTCTGTGTTCTTTGGGGGCCTCTCCATCAAGAAGGATGAAGAGGTGTTGAAGAAGAACTGTCCCCATGTTGTGGTGGGGACTCCGGGCCGGATTCTGGCACTCGTGCGGAATAGGAGCCTTAACCTGAGAAATGTGAAGCACTTCGTGCTGGACGAGTGTGACAAGATGCTGGAGCAGCTGGGTGAGTGTCCTCGCCAGGTCTGTGGGGGCTGCTGGAGACCCACCCAGCCTCACCCTCCCCACTAGCACCCGCTCAGACTTCAGAGCGAGGTAGGCCCTGACAAGGCAGGCCAAAGGTTGCCCCAGAGTAGGGAAGTGGGCGGTTGGCACATGGGTCATTGGCACACGGGTCTCCTGTGAACAGTTTTAGGGAAAGTTCTCGTGTTGGCTGACTATGACCTGCCACTTCTGAGCCCAAGCTGAGTGGGACCTCAGCCCAAATGAGCCACCATCTAGCACATATATACGTCAGCCCTAGGCTTGCTGTGGCCTCACTGCCTGCTGGGTTAGTTCTTGGCCCCCGCCTGCCCTCAGTGAGCCCCGACAGGGCCGGTGGGAGATGGGGCTTGTATCCTGGAAGGCAGCTGCAGCTCTCACCCCAGTGGCTATCTCTGCCTCAGGCTCCCCTCCCTGAAGCGTGGCTCGAGGTGCGCTGGCACGGCTGCTCCGCTCTGGCAGCGTGTAAGTGGATTGCAGCTCCTCCTGGGCCTGCGCTCACCCCGAGTCCAGCCCCTCAGGCACCAGGCACGGGGACTCACCCCTACCCCTGCTCCTTGCTCACTGCCCTTATCGTGGTGCCAGGTTGGGAGGGGCTGGGCCTGCTCTCGGGTACGGTCGTGGGCTGGCAGGCGCTCATGCCCACTTGTTTCTTGCCCTCCCCCCCAGACATGCGACGGGATGTGCAGGAGATCTTCCGCCTGACACCCCACGAGAAGCAGTGCATGATGTTCAGCGCCACCCTGAGCAAGGAGATCCGGCCTGTCTGCAGAAAGTTCATGCAAGACGTGAGTAGGGCGAGGCGGTGGCCAAGACCTCAGTTCATCGGTTTTGGCCCTCCTGGGCCTGGGCCCCGAACTGGTGCCCAACACCCACACTGCCCTCACGGCACAGCAACGCTGGCAGGCCGCGGCGCCCTCCCTCCTCTGTCTCGTCAGACTGGGAGCTGAGCGTGGTCCACACCTGAGCCAGACCACAGCTTAGATCCAGCTGTTGGGAGAGATGTTTACTGGGTACAGCAGCTCCTCTGGGAAGCACCACAACATGGAGTCGCTCCTGGAAGGTTCTGGGCAGGTGAGGTGCCCAGGAGTAAGCCCTGCCAGCCCCTTGCCACTCCCCTTCCCTCAGCCCATGGAGGTATTTGTGGATGACGAGACCAAGCTCACGCTGCACGGGCTGCAGCAGTACTATGTCAAGCTCAAGGACAGTGAGAAGAATCGCAAGCTCTTTGATCTCCTGGATGTGCTGGAGTTTAATCAGGTGACACTGCCATTGCCTGTCATAGGGTTCTGGGCCTTTGGGTGGTACATGGGGATTCAGGCCCCTGATTTTGCTGCCTCCCTCTGGCAGGTGGTGATCTTCGTGAAGTCAGTGCAGCGCTGCATGGCCCTGGCCCAGCTGCTTGTGGAGCAGAACTTCCCAGCCATCGCCATCCACAGGGGCATGGCCCAGGAGGAGCGGTGAGTGCATGACCCCCTGAAGGCTGAAGGCAGGCCCCTCAGAGGGAGTGCTGCCCAGGAACCTCATACCTGACGGTGCCTCTTATTCCTCCTGCACCCAGCCTGTCACGCTATCAGCAGTTCAAGGACTTCCAGCGGCGGATCCTAGTGGCCACCAATCTGTTTGGCCGAGGGATGGACATTGAGCGAGTCAACATCGTCTTCAACTATGACATGCCCGAGGACTCGGACACCTACCTCCACCGGGTGAGTGGTCCCACAGAGAGGTCACCTCCCTGATGGCCCCCTCTTTGGGTGGGGACCTGGCCCAGCTTATCCTCAGATCCCCAGGATGTGTTTCTGTGGCCTGACCCCAGCTTCTGTCTCCCTGCAGGTGGCCCGTGCGGGTCGCTTTGGCACCAAAGGCCTGGCTATCACTTTTGTGTCTGATGAGAATGATGCCAAAATCCTCAATGATGTTCAGGACAGGTTTGAAGTGAATGTGGCAGAGCTTCCTGAAGAAATTGACATCTCCACATACAGTAAGTGGCTTCGGCTGGAGGAGCAGGGCTGGCGTGGGGCGGGGCTCTCTCCTCTCTCAATGACTTCTTCCCCATGTGTGTCTTACAGTTGAGCAGAGCCGGTAACCACGCGCCTGACGGCCCAGCGCCACCCTGCTTCCCTTGTGCTGCTTCAGTCCTCTTTTTAGGCAGCAGTGGGTCTTTCTTTTTACTGTTTAAAAGCTGTAGATTTGTGTAAGAATAAATTTTTATTATGGAAGCCTGGCTCCCATCCACCAGTTTTTTAGTTGTCTTTCTGCATTTCACAGATGCACTGGGCCTGGCCAGGGAGCCCCTAGCCAGCCAACAAAACCACTTTCTGTATCAATGAGAGATTGAATTTTAAGTGTGAACATTGAAAGTTTATACAGATTTACAAAACGTTACATAACATCCATCACATTCAAAACAGTGAGAACCCTCTGCCCAAGGGGCAGATGGGCCTCTGTACCATGAGTCACGGGCAATGGGGCCGGGAGGGGCCCTGCCCGTCCACCCCAACCTCAGTCTTAGCTTAACTGGAAAGTTAAACCCAAGTACCCTGGCCCCTCGTTCCATAGCAAAGACATGAGTGGGAGGCCAAGTGGACACAGGAGCCCTTAGTCCAGGCGTTGGGTACCAAGGCAAGGGGCCAGCTCTTGCCCACTCTGGGTCCTGGCCAGGGTACAGCAGAAGCAGGCCCATCAGGTATGACTCTCCACTCTATGTGTTCCGGGGTTTGGTGCCAGACAACAACTGTCAACTCCCCCTCTCCAAGGTGCATATGGGGGCGGGAGGGCAGAGGGAGCAGAGCAGTAGGAGAGAATAGTCTTCAGCATGTGCAAAAGCTGTTGAGGCCACTGGAGTTGCTGGCCTGGCCAGAACCATGTGGTCACATGCCAGACTCTGACGGCCTGAGGACCTAGAGAGAGAGGAAGCTCCGTGAGGACTGAGCCTCGCCCAGGCCGCCTTCTGGTCCAGCACCCCCCACCCCAGCATTGGCCCTTACCCGAGTCTGATTATGGCTGGAGCCCAATGTGGATGTGGTGAACTCTGAGTACTTGTTCCTGGTGACCATGCCGGCCCACTTTCGGTACTCCTCCCTCACCTGCAGGGCCCAGGATGCCAGGTCAGAGGAGGGGCAGCCCAGGGGAGAGGGAGAAGGGGAAGGGAGGTACTGGCCCGTCTGCAGCTTGGCCTGAAGCCCACCTTCTTGTTGAGCAGGCAGTGCAGCACAAAGAGGAAGAAGCCCTGTAGGCAGGTGAGGATGGTGAAGGCGTAGGCCAGCACCTGGCTCTTCGGGTCGAAGAGGAACAGGCCGAAGATCCACGTGCAGCCCAGCAGGAAGAGCTGTGACACAGCGGTGATGGTCAGCACCCTGGGGGAAGGAGGACAGCTGCAGCAGGGGGCCACCCCCCACACACCTCTTCCCAGCCAGCCCCTTCCCTCACCTCGCCTTCTTTAATTTTTTCATGTCTGGGTTGATCTCAGAGAACTTTTGCGTGAGCTTCCAGACTGTTATCACGAAGATGACAGCATTGCACTGGGCAGGGAGCAGAAAGTTTGGATTAGAGGTTGTCCTTGGAACTCAGAGAGAGAGAGCTGGTCAGTCAGGCTCAATAAAGGGCCAGGAGGCTCAGGCTTTGAGAGTGGGGTGTGCTGGTCTAGTTACCAAAATGATGAAGGTCACCGGTCCCAGGAAGCTCCAGAGGAAGCCGTGGTCGGGGTTCAGCCAGCAGCTGGGCAAGAAGGAAGGAGTGAGGAGCAGGAGGAGAGCCCGAGGGGAGCGGGTCTTGTACTCCGCGCAACTCTCACGCCGTGGGGCCCGTGCCTCCCGTGGCCCCACCATCCGGCACTCACTAGAGGACGCGGCCATAGCCCTGGCTGTTGACGGCTGCCGAGATGACCACAATGAGCCCAGGCACTCCGTAGCCGATCAGGTAGAGCCAGGGCTTGCTCAGACCCTGGCCAGGGAACACGCGTACCACGAGGATGTAGAGCTCCGCGCCCTCGAGGCTCATCCAGCAGAAAGCGGCCAGGAAGCAGTAATGCAGTAGCCCAGCCACCAGGCGACAGCGTGTCCCCACCTGTGGGCGGAGAGCAGACTGGGTGACGTCAGCGGAGGGCGGGGCCACACTTAACGGGAGACAGTCCCTCGCTTGAGCCCTCAGGGTGGGCGGAGCCACAGCCGGACGTGGAGGTGGACGGGGCGTCAGGGTGGGGCCTGGCGGTGTTCTATCGTGTGTGTGGGGGGGGCGGGTCATAGGTTTCTAGGGCTAGTGCCCCCAACCGAGCCTCATGGGTGAGTGGGTGGAGCTAACCCTCTCTTGAACCTTGCTGGCCTAGTGCCCAGGTGAAAGTGAGGCCCTCCATCCGGCAGTGCCTCACCTGGCCGCCCTGGTTCTCGATGCCCGCAAGGAAGATGGCGGAGCCCACAAAGAGGCAGATGCAGAGGTGCAGGTGCACCGTGGTGCGCGAGCCCTGGATGGGCCGTACTAGCAGGAAGGTGAGGATGCACAGCAGCAGGCAGACCAGCGACAGCGCCAGTCCCACCTTGGTGATCAGGGCCAGCTTCAGGTCCTAGATACGGGATGGGGTGGGCGGGACTCGGTCAGCACCCTGAGGCTTTTGCCCTTGGTGTGTGTGCCCCACCTCCCAGATCCACCTGGGACCTGGACAGAAGGACTGACATCAGGCTGCACACCTCCCCCCACCTCCTCTGCCTTCAACATCTGAGCAAGCCTGCTTTGTCTCTCACCCTAAATACCCCTACACACACACACACACACACACCCACACACACACACACACACACCAAATACCACCTATAAAGTGTTTGAAAAACTTATTACATATTTATATCCTACCCACTCCCTTCCCCTACACACACACAGAGACACACACACACACACACACTTATGAGTACGGGAAAGATCTCATTATGCACCCAGACTGCTTCAGAAAAGATCCCCAGTCAAGCTTCAACTGTCAACCTTTTTCAAAACTAACAGGTCCACTTCTCTAACCTCATCTTCTGCCCCTCCCATGTTTGGCCACACCTATCAGCTCAGAAATTCAACTTTAGTACTTCTGGGCCTTTGGCCTGAACCACCAGCCTCCTTTGCTTTGCCTGGCCCATTCCAGTTATCCATGTGGTCCAGTTTATCTATAGATCACCTAAGACCACATACAGAAAGTTGTGCTCTCTTGAGCTTTCAGCGATATTTAACAACCAGATGGAGGTGGGTGGTCAGAAGAGTGCTGGCTGGAGCAGGGCCTGCAGTGCCAGGCCACATTGTGTAGTTGCTGGGTAGTGGGGAGGTCTGGGGGTCACAGGGAAGGGGCTAGGGGTGTGGTGTGGGGCCACCTGGGCTGCAAAAGCATACAGAAGCATTTGGTCCTCATCATGAAGAACCAGCTTTCTGTCTCATCTAAGCCAACCCCGCCGTCTATGGGCTTTTGGGCTTGGCCCCGGGGCTGTTTACCTCAATGTCGTAGTGGGCCATGAGGATGGCAAAACTGCTCAGGTGGCTGCACTGGCAGGTGGTGCTGCCATTCAGGCTGCCCAGCTTCTGGCAGCCTGTGGTGGTCCAGTACCCACCACTGTCATTGTCACCCTTCCAGAAGGCACAGATCAGCTCCTGCCGTGGCCCAGGCGTCGCTGGCTGTGGGCAGGTGGGGGTAATCAAAGAGATTAGCCTCAGGCCCACTTTTGGATTCTGAGCTTGGATTGGGTCTAAGGAAGGCTGTTTGTCAATGACAAGTATTTATTGAGCACCTACTGTGTATCCCAGGCCAAGGGATACAGCAGTAAACAGGGCAGACAGAACTCCCTGCCGTTGTGGGGCTGACATGCTCATGGGGGAGACAGACAGTAAATAATAAATTTAATAGATAAGTAAACTAGATAGTGTGTTAGAAGGTGATAAATGCTATTTAAAAAAGAAGAAACATGAGAAAGGTGGCGTGATTTATTAGAGGTCGTAATTTTAAATAAGTCAGGGAAAGCCTAAAAGAGAAGGTGACATTTGAACAAAGACTAGAAACAGGTAAACAGGTACTCAGTAACAGGTACTGCGTCTTGGGAGGGAAATGTCACAGGCAGAGAGCAAAGCAAGTGCAAAGGCCCTGAGGTGCATTTAGGAAGGAGCAGAATGGTGGAGGTAGGGAAATGAAGGCTGCAGAGCAACCACTGTGCCTTTGACTATGGGGTGACCAATAGAGCTGATTTCCCCTCCCCACCCAAGTACTCACAAGGTGGGAGAAGGCGAAGGTGACAGGGGAATCTAGTTTCTCCGTCTTCGTGTTGCTCAGAAAGGCAGAGTTGATGGCAGAGAGGAACCTGAACTGGGTCCCACTGACAGTACTTTCGTGCAATTTTTCCAGCTCGCTTTTCTTCTCGAGGTCCAGCTTCAAGGAGGCCTTGGCCAACAATTTCTTCATGTTTTGACTAGAGAGCATGCCTGCCATGACGGGGCCTGGAGGACAAACATGCTGGCTACCTTCCCTTGCCCTCCCTCCTCCCTCCTAAGACATCTAAATCGGGCCTGGCCAATCCACCGTGATGCCAGGAGTCCCTCAGGATGGCTCAGTTTCCAATTGTTACATATTCAGAACCTCACCCCTAGCCACATCCTAGCTCCTTCTTCCCTCTCCCACCAGTGCCCCCTCTAGCTCCCAGCTGTTACCCGAGTCCCGTTCTCCAGCTGCCTCAGACCACTTCAGCATCATCCGTGCATGTGTCTGTCCCATGGTGACATTTTCATTCCCTTGCTCCTGGATCATCAGGGTCAGCTCTGAGGAGAGAGGAGCAGTGACTGGAGGCTCAAGATATAGGGTGGGGTCCAGGGCTGGGGCAGGGCAGGGCCTCACCTGTGTCCGCAGAGGAATGGTAGGTGAAGGGGGCTGTAAGCATCGTCTTGGCCAGAGTCCTCAGGACATGTTCGAGTCCTGACAGCAGGTTGGTGGCTGTGCGGAGCTGGTCACGTAGGGTCAGGGCCTCCAGGTCTCCGGGAACTTCCAGTAGCCCGTCCACTGACTCAATGAGTTTCTGGGGGTGATGGGTGACAGCAGCTTGGTTATTTTACCACAGGGCCACCTGAAGAACCCTGATCTCACCCGCTCACTAGGGGACACTGGAGAACCACCCAGGTTGCCTGGGGGACGGGAACAGGGGACTACAAGTAGTAGGAGTAAGTATATGCCTGTGTGCACATATTATAACAATGACATTTAACATTCATCAGGCACTTGCTTTCTGCCAAATTCTGTTCTAAGTTTGCACTGTCCACAACGGTCGCCATGAGCCACATGTGACACTTGAAATGTGGCTCCGTGTTGAAATGGTAATATTTTAGATCTGTTGGGTTAAATGCAATCTTCATATTAATTTCACTTGTTTACTTTTTTTTTTTATTTTTTAATAAAACTACTAGAAAATTTAAAATGACATAAGGGGGTCATATATTTCTGCCAGGCTAAGCACATATGCTAAAACTTACATATGATGCTTTTACTGTATGCCAGGAATTATTCTTTGAGCCTTGCTTCTCTTCATTTAAACCTTTACACACAGTGTATGAAGGAGGCACTGTTTTCAGATGAGGGGACAGAGGCCCAGAGAGTGGGAGTCACTTGCCTGAGGTCACACAGCAGGGATTGTGCGAGAGATTCGAACCATTGTGGCCTAGCTCCAGAGTCAACATTCTTAATTGCTGCGTTCTGTTGCCATTGTGTTCCTCTTGATTGTGTGTGCGGCCCTGCTCCGGCCATTAGGGGACCCAAGAATCAATAGGGTGTATATGTACACCTGTGTTTGTGTAATGGGGGTATATATTGGTGTGTGTATATTGTGCATGCAGCCAATGTGTTTCTCTGATCAGAGGCCCCTGCTTGGGCTGTCTCCTCTCACACCGAAGCATCTCCCGGCTGCCCACACACTATCCTGGGGTCCCCCCAGGTCCTGCCCTTACCCCGATGGTGTCCTGAGCCGAGGCTGACTTGATGTCTCTGCCCAGAATCTGGACTCTTTCAAAGAAGCCGGAGAGACTCTGGAGAGAGGGGAGATGAGGGCATCAGAGAGCCTCACACATGGGTGGGGAGCTTGAGGAAAATGGTGAACAGGGTGGCTGCCTCCTGGTTCCCTCTGGAGCCACTCACCTGGCTCTTGATTCCAGGGGGCATGGTCCACCTGGAGAATATCTCTGTTGGGGACAGAAGAGCAGTTCATTAGGTATGAGACTGTCTGTTTGTGTTGGAGGCGGGGTCTGGGGTCAGGTCAGCTTAGTTACTTTCACATTGTGTGGTCTTTTGGCTATTCTGGAATCCAGGTTTGGGCACCCAGCCCCTGGGGCAACAGCACTTATATGAGCCCAGAGTATTGACACAGGAGGTGGAGTTGTCGCACTGATGCTCCCCAGAGCTGCACTCATCCACATCTAGGGACACAAAGAAGGGCGTCAGGCTCAGTCCCAACCCGATCAGGCCCCTCTCCTCTCCATGCCCTGTCCCTTTGCCTATGTTAGTTCTCACTCCCCCCACACCTGTCACCTCCCCACCCCGCCTGGAGGTGATGCCACCTGGTGAGTGCACATCTCTGAGTGGTAGATGCGGATTATGGGAGGTGTGCAGAGACCTCACACATGGCAGGTGGGCCCCATGCAGATGTACAGGTTGTAAAATATTGAAATACGTTCATCCCAGTATGTAATCAGCTGCTGCCTGGTATCCCCCAGGAACCTTCCCCTTGGTAACCCAGGCTGCAGGCTCTTCTATCCACAGCACCATGGGCCTGTGGACGCTGATGAGTCCTGCAGGGTCCTCGGCTCAGCTTCCTCTTCCCCTCTGCATTCTGCACTAACCCCCTCTCTCTGGGCAAGTTGTGGCTCCTGCCCGCCTACTGCTGGCCCCATCTGCCCCTGCAGGTGCCTGAAGCCCCTTTGCTGCCACCTGCTCCCCCAGAAAGGGGTCAAAGCCTGGTGATGCATGGAGGTCCGGCTCCTCCTCGGCCCCTGGAGAGGGGACAGACGGGGCCGGCTACTCTCCGAACATCATTGTCATCCTCTTTTACAGATGCATAAACTGAGCCACAGAGAGGTGATTTCTGAAAAACTGTCCTAGCTGGTGTCACACACACAGCCATCAGGTGACAAAGCCAGGATTTGGGCCCATGGCTCTCATGCCACCCTGTCTTTCTGTGCTGGTGTGGCAGGCACAGACACATCTGTCCTCTCTCAGACCTGGTCTCTGTACTTGCCACAAAACCCTGGCCTTGTATGCTGCAGGAATGACTCTGGTGACCCCAAACCTCATGGACAGGAAGATGGAAGATGCGAGGTCCTTCTTACCTTGACACGAGTTCTCACTCTCATTCCTGAATGTGTTTTTCCCAGAACCAAGCACATATCCTGGGTTGCACGTGCAGTAGTAGCTCCCCTCCGTGTTCTTGCAGTCTGCAAATCTTCCACAAGACACTATCGGGGGTGGTCCGCACTCATTGATGTCTGGAACACAACAGGGTGAAGAGTCACCTCCCAAAGGCATGAAGTCCCTCAGGACAGAGATCCTCATCTCCTACCTGACTCCCCAACATGGGCCTGATGCTTTTGGGAAAGAATTAGATTCTCAGGCAACTCTGCTGGGGCTGGGCTGTGGCTGGAGCAAGCCATTCCTGAAGCCCACGCAATCAGCTCAGCTCTTTTTGGCCCTCTGGCTGGCACCCCGGATACAGGGGAAGGTGCTGAAGCGGGGAGTGGGTGGGAACACTGCATCCCCCTCTCCAGTCCCGGAAGGATGAACTGAGGTACAGATTCCAGACTCCTGGAGTCCTAGCTCCTCTCTCTCCAGGAAGCCATTTTTATTTACTTATTTTCCACCTTCCTATCTTTTCCTTTCTCTTTTCTTTGTCCTGATGACAATCTGAGGACAAAGGCTGAGGCCCCCAACCACCACCCACATCCCCATGGGCACTGGGCTCTGCCCCACAATCTTCATGTGCCACTGCACCACCCCCAAGCCTCTGTACCTTCACAACTGTCCATAGGGTCGGTGATGATCTCAGTTGAAGATCTGAATCCTGGATCGCAGCGGCAGGCAGTGGCACTGATGCACTTGGAGTGCGGAGGGCACCACTTAATACAGTCCTTGGGGACAGCGTCTGTGGGGATGTGGTCAGAAGGTGAGAGCTGAGCCAGGGGCTGGGGAGGGAGTGTAGGGAGGGGCGGGCCCAAGCTTCCCCCTGCAGCAGGCCTCTCTCCTGCCTGGGCTGAGAGGTGTAGGTGGGAGTCCAGGGCCCCTTCTGCAGGCTCCCGCTGAAGACTGAGTTACCCCAAGCAGACTTACCTACGGTGTTCTGGGAGTCCAACAGAGTCAGGAAGACACACAGTGCTGGAACAGAGAGAGGGGGGGTCAGGGGAGAAAAGGAGCAGGGAAGGGTTGACAGAGGCCTGAGGGCAACGCGTCTGAGGGAAGAGGGCTGCCACCCAGGCTCAGGCTCTGTCCATTGCTCAAGGAGAGAGCCAGCAGGTGGCACCTCCCTGGCCCCTGAAGCCGACAGCCAGAAGGGTCTGCACCCATCGCTGGAACCAAGGGATAGGGAGGGGGCCCAAACTCAGCAGGGGTCTTGGCTCCTGCTGACCTGCCCGCATCAGTTCAGGAAACACATTGGAGACAGGTGGCCCTGGTTCCAATCCCAGACCTGGATCAGGTCACCTCAGTTTCCCCTTCTACAGAGTGAGGATGAAGAGGGGATCCACTGCCTAGAGCAGTGTGAGAACACAAGTTCTGTCTGGTGTGTTGGTCGAAGTGTTTACTGTCATCATCATTTCTTTATGTAAAAATGAAGAGGTTGGACCAGGTGTTCTCTCAGATCCCCCCAAATCTAAGGTGCTCTGGCCCCCACACCCTTCCTCAGGGACACAGGTAGAAGCATACCACACCCTACTCTGTCAGCCCTAATGACCAGCTTGGGACCCAGTAGTGACATTTCATCCCCAGCTGCCCCCACACAGGAAGATGCTGTGGGCTCCTGTTGGGGGTGGTGCTGAACGGGTCCCCCTTTCTCATACTGTTCCTGCTGTCAGGGGCACGCCCTGGGGGTTCTCCCCAAGTCAGCAGGGGCTCTAAGTTGGGCACCTTGTTGCTGTTCACCAGAGAGACAGATGAGGAGACGGATGGAGAGAAAATAGATAGAGACAAAGAGAGACAGAGAAGGAGCTAGAAACATAAAGAGAGGAGGAAGAGGGAGAAAGGAAACAGGTGGAGAGAAAATCGAGACATGAGAGAGAGACAGACACAAGGAGGCAGAGAGAGAGAAACAGAGGCAGGAGTTAATACAGCGATAGAGAAAGAAAAATAGAGAACTCCTAGAAAGGGAGAGACAGATGACAGAGATCGGACAGAGAGACACAGAGACAGAGAGATCGAGAATAAGATAAACAATTAGAAACAGAGAAGGGAAAGGGAGGGTGCCTGAGCAGTAGGTGGAAGTGTGGGGAGGGCTTGGGGAGCTGCCAGTGCCTGCCTATCTGGAAATGTTGGAGAGGCAGCCCAGACCCCGATAATCCAGGGAGAACTGTGGAGGGGCTGCAGGCGGCGGGATCAGGGCCTGGAGGGAGGGCAGCTATGAGTCACTTCCTGGGCCAAGGGAAGGGATGACTCATGGCTCGGTGGCCCATGGAAGGACTCCCAGGGGAATTCTGGGGTCCATCATTGTAAACACAGCTTGAGGAGCTTGGGGGGGTGCAGACTGGAGGGTCCTCTGAGCACTGAGCCCCAGCGTCCAAATTTGTTACCCCTCAGGGAGGTGGAGGGCAGACGCCCCCTCACAGAGGCCTTCCTAGCTGGGGTAAACTGAGGCCAGAATGCCCTTCCCCTTCTTTGAGTGAAGATTCCCCCTTCCCCTCCTCTGGCCGAACAAGTTCCTCTTTGCAGGACAGACCACAAAATGACCTTCCCTGGGAGGGCAGGACCCAGGACGATTTGTCCCCAGCTCCCAAATCCCCCAGTAGCAACTTTCATGCTCACAACTGCCCTAGGAGGCAGAGGCTCCGTTTATGTTCACTCTACAGTTGGACAAGCTGAGACTTAGAGCCCAGAAAAGGCTCAGGGAGAATCTGGTAAACATAGGGGGCTGGGGAAGGTGAAATTGAAGGGTCAAGGTCTCCAGACCCTGCAGGGAGGGGCTCCTTTGTGCCTTGACCCCTCTGCCCAGGCTGGGCTGGGCTCTTCTCCCCCATCACGGAAGCTGCTGGGCCAGACCTTCCGCATCTGGGCCTTGGAAGTGACCCAAACGGGAGCAGGGAGAGGAGCTGCTGGTCATCGCTCCCAGTTCCATCTGGTCTGCATTCCCTTAGCCCAGCCCTGAGCTGTAGGATTCCGCTTAGGGGCTCTGGGGTGGGGGTGGGGCAGTCATTACCTTCTTGCTCCTCCTGCTAAGGAGCCCCCAGCCCAACCCCCAGACCCACCAGTGAGATAATAATAACAATAATACTAATAAATACTGTTTACTTGATTCTTACTGTGAACCAAGGCTCACTCAACCCTTAACACAACCCTATAAAGTGGAGAGTGGTCCTGCACCATTTTACAGGTGTGAAAAGTGAGGATCAGGGGCTCTGTGACTTGGCCCCGGTGACACACCACCCCCCATCGGGTATGCTCCACATAGACTTGACAAATTTACTAAAAATCATCTAACTGTATGCATGCAACAGGCGAATTATATGCTATGTAAGTTACACCTCCCTGAAGCTACAAAAACAGCTCATGTGTATCATCCTAAACCAGCATGTGGAACCCCATCCCTGTGGCCCAGGGAAGCTCCGATTGGCACCCCAAATGTCATCTCTTCCTCTCTTTGTTGCCTGGTTGCCCAGGCAACGAGCGGCACCTAACCGTTAGAGCCACCCTGGGTGGGGCGGGAAAGGAGACTTGAGGAAGTTACAGCAAAACTCAAGTTCAAACCCACAGCTGGCAAATCCCTTCAACACACAGCTGAGTCCCAGTTGGGTCTGGGGGAGCAAGAGTGGGGGTCTCTGGAGCTGCCCCTGTCACTGAGACAGTGGGAAATATGTTGGGGCCACCCCATAGTGGAGGGGTCCCCGCTCCTATCTCCCCAGCACCTCCCATGCCATCTGTTAAGAGTGACTTCCTACGGGGGGGTCACAGCACTCACTTTTTGCACCCTTTCCTTCTCCCTGCCTCTATTTCTCCTTTTAGGGAGCAGCCTCCAAAGTGGATCCAGACGGAGCTTGGAGATTCCTCTGGGAAGGTGGGGTCAGGCTCTTAGAGCACCCGGGGTTTCCTGCCAGAGTGTGGGGGTGCCCGGGCGCTGCTAGCCCCTCTCCCCATGTGCCCGCGGCGCCTGCCTGACATGCGGCTTCCTCTGGGCTGCCAGCTGCCGGCTGCCGTGGGCCCCAGAGCTGGCAGCTGAGCCTACCATTTCTCCATGGAGAAGGGGGGCCACTGTTCCCAAGGGGTGTTGCCAGGGGCTCCCTCGACCCTCCCAGACTCTCACCTTGTAGGATGAAAAAGGCACTGCAGCGGGGGCCTCCCATGGTCTGAGCTCCTGGCAGGGAAAGCAGAGTTTGGGGCAGAGCTGTTCCGTATCCCCAGGCTGGGCAGCTTTGCGGAGTCACATGGCCTCCGGGCCTTTATAAAGTGAAGGGGGCGGGAAGCCACTGGCCCAGGTCCCTCCCCAGAACTGGTGTGACTGCTGGAAAAGAACAGGAAAGTGCAGTAAAAACACAGACCTAGAGCTGCTGCATGTACACACACACCCACACCCACCCACACACACACACACACACACACACATGCTGAAGTGCAACATGCTCTCGGGTCTGCCCACAGTTCCACCATTTAAGCGTCTGACAAAATTTCTGACCTCTATGTGCTCACAGGCTGTATCCCAGGGGAAAGTGGGGTCAGTGAGGGAAGGGGGCGTGTCTTGCCCAAGGGGTTGGGAAGGGGCCACGTCAGAAAGAGCTCAGGGCCTGCATGTTGGGGACCCCCCTGGGCTCACTGCTTTGGCCTGCACCAGTCTCCAGGGCCAGCCCCTGAGCTAAGAGTACCTTTCACCTGTTTTTCAAATGAGGAAACTAAGGCACAGAGAGTCTTGAGTCCAAATAGGAGCTTGAAGAGCATGAAGAGGCCCTTCATGGATGGCAGGCAGGCGCCAGGAAGAGAAACTTCAGGCCACCAAGGGGCCGCCATGCTGGAGCCGGCCTTTCCAGGCCAGCATTTCCCCTGGTAGGAAACTTACATTTCGGGTGCTCTTGGGCACTGCCTCAGTCAACAGAGAATCACATGATAGGAGAGTTGTTTCCTTTTCGAATGTCGTATGACTGGCTTGTCTCTGGCGCCATCTTTTAATTTTTTAAATACGCTATTATTTATAAAGCGCTTAATCTGAGACAGGCCTGACTCTAGGTGCTTTGTCTATTTCAACTCATCGACTCCATAAAACACCTATGAGGCAGGTGCAGTTCTGACCTATTTACAGAGGCGGGCAGCCAGGGCACAGCTACCAGGCGGCCCAGCAGAGATCCACAGGCGGCAGGCCTCGTCCCTGGGTTTCCGTGAAGAACCTCAGTCCACGAGAAAGTCTCTACTGGGTGCTAATGTGTCTTTAACACCTTGGTAGACTTGAGACTTATCTAGCTAATATCTACATTTTATATTTCTTGTGTTATTATTCATTTTTAAGTTTATGGACTCTTCAGGGCAACGAGAAGAGTTTTCCAAGTGGGACATCAATATGCAGTTTCCTCTTTGAATGAATGAATTCAAGGATGCAAAAGTGTAGAAAATTAAAGAAAATATTAAGTCCATCGCAGTTCAAAAGGGGAGGATTCTGCTCATGGAAAAATAAGGTCACCAAGGGCAAAAGGCAGAGATGCATTATCCCAGGGCCGGTGGCACCCCCCCACCTCCAGAATTAACACCTTCCTGCCCACTGCCATCTTTTTGACCTGGACAGGGCATGGGAAAGGGTCCCACCATGGTGCCCAAGGGGGCTAGAGGAGGGAAGTGGACACTGGAAGAAGCTGAAAGAGGATGGGGTCCAGACCAGGTCCAGAGTGCACTTTGACTTTTTCCCCCCAAAAGCTAGAAACCCTAAGGCTGGACGTTCTGCCCTATGGGCCACAGGTCTGACAGCTGGTACCTGGAGAAGCTGGGGGAGGTAGGAGGCTTGGTCCCAGGGTGTTGTCCCCATACCCTGCCATAGTCATCATCCATCGTTTTGCCTTCTCCCCTGGGATGTGCTCTGGGCCCTTGGAGCAAATCTAACCTGCTGGGACTCAGTTTTCCTGTCTGGTGAATGGAATTTAAATGCCCGCCCACTGGCGTTACCAAGCAAGGTAAGGAAGGACTGAGGTAACATAGGAGAAAAGGCTCTGAGATGTTTGCTGCAAGCTTGAGAGAGGTGCCAAGAGGAACATCCCCACCACCACCACCACAATCTGGCATGTTGACAAGTCCCATGGCCACGACTTCAGCTAGATCCAGAATCCTCTCACTTCTCCTCTTCATCCCCCACCCTGGTTTAGCCCCATTATGTCCCGCTTTGGCGCCCCGGCTCCTGTCCCCCTCACGGTGACCCAAGAGTGCCTGGGACGTCCTGAGTCAGGGCACATCCCTCCTCTGTTCAAGAACCCTCCATGGCTCCCCGCTCACTCAAGTCCTCCGGAGGCTCCGAAGACCCTGCGAGCTCTGCCCTGTCGCCTCCCTGCCCTCACCTCCTCCCTCTCTCCCCTCGGTCACTTGGCAACCGTTTTCCAGGCATGTTTGACCTCAGGGTCTGACCTTCCCAAGGGCTGTGTCTCTGCCTGGAGCACTCTGGCCCCAGATAACATCCTTGTTCCTTCCCTCCGGTCCTTCGTGTTTTTGCTCAAACACTCCCTGACCTACCTCCTGCCATCCTCTCCCACCCTCAGCAACCCCAGCTGCTTCCCACTTTCCGCATTCTCTGTAGCCCCTAACCAGCCCCTCATAATGGAACTCACCTGCTTCCCTACCCCACAGACTGTCAGCCCAGAGGGTAGGATTTTGATCCCTTTGTGTCTCTGCACCCCCACAGGGCTCCATAGTTAGTGACCCCATCCTTGCCGCTGAAGAAAACCCCCTTTGACTTCCTGATCTGGCCCCTGCTAGAGTGTCAACATCATGCCTCCTTCTTCCTTGAAGTTCTCTGAACTTCCAGCCCCTACTGACCTATTTGGCAGCCCCTGGACAACCTCCTGGCCTCTGCTCCACAGTGGTGTGAGTCGGAGACAGGGGACCCCATTTGTCAGATGGGAAACAGGTACCTGGGGATTTGGGCCACTGGCTCCAGATTTTCCAGCTAGAAAGGGGCTGAGCTGGAATTATTCAATCAATAATAATAAGAGCATTATACATTATATTATGTTATAATTTTCATTATTATAGCCGCAACAGGAACAGATCATCATGGTGGGTGATAGTGGTCACCCAGTGCCCACCGTCTGCCTGGCCCTCTTCTAAGCACTTCACAGGGATTGAACTCACTTATCTTCCCAGGTGCCCTAGGAGGCAGGTGCTATGCTTTGCATTAGACAGACGGGGAAACTGAGGCACAGTCACAGAGCGCCCCCATCTCATATCAGAGGTCCAAGGCAAACCCCGTCTCTGCTACTTTTGGACCATGTGGTCTCAGGCGGTGAAGCGACCTCTCCGGGCCTCAGTTTCTCCATCTGCGAAATGGTCGGCACCTCGTGAGCACAGGTGAGGGTCACATGGGAATGAAGGACTCACAGGGCAGTAGCTCAGAGTGGACGTGCAGTCAGCATCAACAGTGGTTGAGTGCCATGCCCTCTGCCATGGAGAAGGAGACGACGGGACCCCATTGATTTGCCCCCCTTCTTTTGTCACGAGCCAGGCCATGCCCAGCATCTTTGCAAGCCCCAGCTGAGGCGGGGGTCAGCTGGGGTCTCCAGAAGGAGGGGGGCATAACAGGAAGCCCCCTGCCTGGGAGACAATGGCAGAGGAAGGGGCCGGGCCAGCCCCCACACGGATGAGCTTAGCTGCCGGCTCCAGGAGGGCGGCAGAGCTATTGTGATGCCAGACAGCTGTCCCCAAGCCAGGAAGCCCCAGCAAGAGAGGGAAGAGGGTGGGAGGCTGATGGCCAGCCCTGACCCCAGACTCAGGAGCAAGCCAGACAATGGACCTTTTGTCTCCTCCTACAGGCTGGACACCTGGGTTCTCCCCAGGCCAGGCTCTCCGAGTCCACCTAACCAGGTGTTCCTGGTCAGACCCCACCCAGCCCCAGCTGGCAGCCTCCTAACCCCTGCCTCCCACCCAGCGTGGCCCAGAGAGTTGGGTGGGAAGCAGTGCTGAGCTGGGCCATATTTATAGTTCCCTGGCATTGCTGAGTGAACTCCTAAATATAGAAGCCAAGCTATTTGAGGCTTTGTCCTGGGGCAGTCGGGGTGGGAGTGCACCTCACGTGTGCCTCCCTGGCCTAGGTCCCCCAGACTTGCCTGGGCCTCTCAGTTTCCTGGGCCTAAAGCTGGGGAGAGATCTCAGGGCGGGGGCAGTCTGTTTGTTTGAATAGGGGCGTACAGATAGAGACATGGTGGGGGAACCCAAAGTGATGCCAGGAGAAGCAAGAGTCTGTGCTGCCTCATGGGGCCACGTTCTGGGGGACGTAGGAGGAGGCTGTATTTGTAGCCTGTGTCCCAGCACCCAGTTCTTCTGCCTCCTTCTCCCGCAAACCGACTGTGGTAAGAAAAGGGGGTTGAGCTGTCACTCTAAGTGTTCTCTGCTTCTAGGAAATGAAATTTTACAGGAAGTGACAGGGGCAGCCCCAAACTCCAAACAAACCCCAGATCATAGCAACCCACTTCTCCTTCCCCATCAGCACTGAGCCCACTGGGTGCTGGGCAGGGGAGGGGAGTGGTGACGTGGCGGGGGTGGGGTGGGGTTATAAATAGCTGGTTTATAAACCACTGCTGAGGAAGCCAGGTGGCCCCCAAGCAGAACAGAGAGGGTTCCTCATGGGGCAGCTGGACTTCAAAAGTATCCCCTGCTTCGTTCAACCCCTCTCAGCCATCCCTAAGATTTAGGAAAGTTAGGGTGAACTGAGGAGTGAGTTGTTTAAATGATCTTAGAGGCAGTCCAGGAACATGACAGCCGTTAAGACTTTAATTGAACCTTAATGCTTTCTCAGCCACTGGATAAAGTGGATTGGAATATCACACAGCTGTGAAAAAGAGCCCCCAGCAATTGATGAGACAGCTGGATCTTAGCAACACATGTGTTTCCAGATTTTAAAAATCGAGTGAAGTGCAAACGTCTTAATTAGCTTGATGGATTTCATAGTAGAATCTCCCCCCCGCCCGCCCCAGCTTTATTGAGGTGCAATTGACAAATAAAATTGTAATATATTTAAAGGGGGGGTAATTGTAATATATTTAAATCACCTGATGATTTCATCGTAGTAGAATCTTGAGCAAAAAACAAAGCCCCAAGAACCCCATATGAAAGCTACCTTTGTCATAAAGTTCAGGCACGGAGAAAACAAAACAGGATAAGGTTTCAGCATACAAACGTGTAAGAAAACAAACAGAAAAAATGAAGGCGAGAATATGAAACAGAATTTGGGGTGGCGGAGAGAGAAAGCAGGGTCACATCCCAGTCTTTGGTGGGGGGCTGGCTCAT